CAGTTTTTCAAAAAATACCATGTTGTGCACATATTTTACACACATTTGCACTTACATGGGCAAGTGTATTTGATGGATAAATGTCATGAAATCTTCAACCAAACAAGAAAAACAGAAATTGCGACATGCACTTAGATGAAAAAATATTGAGAACTCCTGAACCAATGGTGATGTTTGGATGGCTTTTTTCTAAGTCAAAAGTTGGTTTTTTTTTTTTAAATGCTTCTGGAATTTTTGTGATGTTTGGATGGTAGTTTAAAAACACACACACCAAGAATCAATAAAAATATCAAAATCTAACTTTTAAAAAAATATTGACTTTTGAAAAAAAAAAAGAACAAGCCAAAAACAATTGAAACACCTAGACATAGTTTACGGTTCTTTGACTCATTGGGATTTTTTGAGATTATAATTTATCAATATGATATTTGATTTAGGGTATTTATCAACAACGGTCGTTAGGTGACGTGAGAGGAATTCAGCGTAACTGAGTGACACTACCCTCTCTCTCGCGTCACTCACACAATCTTTTTTTTCTTTTTTCTTTTTCAATTTGCAACAATAGTTTCGAAAATAGAATATGTCAAATGAGATGTCATTGCCATTACGTATATCTCAAAAAAATTGTGAAATGAAAAAAGGGCTTACAATCTCTCATGTTGCATGAGAAATTCAAGTTTTTCTACAAAGAGAGAAAGGGGTGGGGCTCTCACCTTAAAGAAAAAAAATAAAAAAATGATTGACACAGATATCGAAGTGAGAGTGGTAGGAGAAAAGAAAATATCGTAAATTAAATAAAAAATTGAGAAAACTAAAGGGGTAAAAATCATAAAAGCTGTGAGAGAGCCCACATTTTACCCCTCAATTCCTTCGACATCTTTCTTCAATACTCTCCTTCTGCTTCGTTTTCATCTTTCACTTTGATTGATTCTCAAGAATAGTGGATTTGAAACAATGTGGCTACACAAACCTACAGATCTATTAACTTTGGAAATTAGAGAAATATAGAACAAAAGGAGATAACCATGTTGCTTCTCGTTGATTCGCTTGCGATGAAGATGAGCCACAACCTCCTCCTTCTTCGACCCAACACCTCCTCGCTTTCTGTTCATGCCTCACCTCAATCATACACTGCTCTCGGTGGCGTTGCCTAGGGTTATCTTCTCAAATCTCAATTCAAAATAAGTGTGTGTTAGATTGTGTTATATACTGGTTTGTGTCTTGTTCTCAAACAACGACAACGACAACGACAAGGACTCTCTCTCTCTCTCTCTCTCAAAGCACTTTCACGTTGTCCTTTTTGGTAATTTTATTCTTAATTTTTTTTAATATCTAAATAACATTTTTACTTGAAAATATTTTTTAAATATTACATCCAAATAAGTCTTTTTCAAATGTTCATCGAAACCAGCCTTTCTACTGATAAGGGATCAATTTTGAAACATTAAATTTAAATTAGATACTGGTTGAAAATTAAATGTTATGTGTTGTTTTGAGAGAAGATAAGATGCTAAGGGTGGATCAAGATATTGAAAAGATGGAAAAACAAAATTGAGAGTAAGACTAGGAGCATTTGGTAGAAGAGAAATTTTTTGTATCCGTAAATTATGATTTTCGAGAATATGATGGAAAATTTTCTTTCTCGTAAATGTTACCAAAAAATTATTTGTTAAGCCAAACTTTTATCGGGAATATTGAGTTAATTCTTCTAATGCTATGTTTAGTTGATTATAATATATGTTTGGTATGACTCATATTTCGCATGCTGATGAGGGCTTTTGTTGTCGGGGTCAGCAGAAAGACAACTAGGGTCTCGCTCCCAGGTGAGTGGGGGTCTGGGGGGCAGCGCTCCCTGGCTCATAGAGACTTGGTACTGTTGTGAATCTCTAATTTATTGTAAATTTTTTTAGTAGTTTGGGCTTGGGTCTATGAATATCTGTTGTTAGGACTTTTTAATCTTATTTATATTCTCCTTATAAACTGAGTGACCAATAACGAGTGATGGTGAGGTGAATATAGTACAAGCAAACTGGATGTAGCCTAAATTGGGTCAACAGGGTAAATCATTGTGTCTATTATCTTCTTTCTTTTTTTCGTTTGCGATTTGTGTAGTTATCGATTTTAAATAAAATATTGCCGGAAATTTCGATCAAAATTACAAAATTACCCTTGTGCCACCGCTCTCCCTCCACACAGGTGGAATAGAGGAGCTATGAGTTTCATTTCCCTGAGATTCTTCCTGAGTACGAGATGTCTCAATTTCGTTAATGTCATCACTTTGTTTAACACTAATCCTCTTTGCTTTTGCAGATTCATCCAACTACCATTTATAATGATAAATATAAATATAAAATTAAAAAAAAATATATAAAATACAAGCATTAGAAATGAATAACATAATTAACCTCCGACTAACCAATTTGTCTGGAGCAAAAGGTAGAGCTAGGATGGTGAAGAAAGTGGAGTTGAGAACAATTGCAAGGTGAAGGCAGGGTCATGAGAATGAGAGAGAGAGCGAGCATGAGGAGGAAAGAGACAGGGTCATCGGCGAAGAGAGCAGAACAAAGATTGGTGAATATAGCAGTGCTTAACCCTACAAACCCTTTGAGAATGCCCGAAACCGGACCTCTGTTACTCCCAAAGTTGCGTATGCAAGTAACCAAAACCGCAGTGTTCATCCGCGTTGTGCTATTGCCTCCCATACACAGAAACACGCACATCTGTAATTGGATTGATTGATTTACCTTTCAATTGGTTTTTATAACCAAATCAAAGAAATCAGAAAGAAAAAAAAAGCAATATTGATTGTATGGAAGGGGTTCGATTCTCTGGCTAACAATGAGCCCACTGAACACCATAGCCGATGAGGCCTTCAACGGAGCCAAGGATGAAGAGGGTGCCAGAGAGAGTATTTTGGTCCGAGAAATGTGTGAAAACTTTCCCATCGCATGGGAAAAAAAATACCATGCCTTGCATGGTATTTCTGGATAGACATCAGCTATGTAAAATAAAATCATGGAAAAAAAAAATTATGGGAAAATTTTCATGATTCTTCCTACCAAACCTGAGAAAATTATTTTTCCCAACCAATTTCCCAGTATTTAAAATAAGATCCTTGTACCAAACAGCACCTAAAGAAAGCAATATGCATGGGATCGGTTGGCAAAAGCCTATATTAAAATAAGAAAGAAAAGAGAGAGAGAGTAGAGGAAATTCTGAAAAAGGAAAAATTCAGAGGAGTACTGGAGAAAATATCAAACTATACATAAAGAGTCTATAATGCTATATATTATTCAAGATAAACGAATTAAATTTTGTGATCATTGATTCTCGGACAAGGCTTTAAACTGTTTTCAGGCTTTGATTTTCTCGTATTATTTGAGAAAATATGTTGTGAACTAAGTAGTCCATATTTATTAAAATAAAAAAGTTTTGCAGCAAATCCAAAGGTCACAATATGAGAAAATACTTCTCACATGAAGTGTTTTTTCCTTTAATCAATACTACTCTAATGATTTTATTTGCACCTTTTTACTTAATTTGAGAAGTTTGTAAGGTAATTTTAATTTTGGATTTTCTTCTAATGTGTTACGTGGTGTAGAGTTGCATCGAGTGGTTTGACCTATTATTAGAGTTAATAATAAGGGAGTAATTATCTTTTAATAATTAGGGACTTAATCTGGGCTTTAGGCTTAAGTGGGTACATCAAAATGTAGAATAAACTTTATTTATTTGAGGTTTTTGACTCTACTTTTAGTGGATTTGAGTTTGCTAACTGGAAGAGATATCCAATTGAATCAGTGATTTTTTTTTCTGCCGTCAAGCCAACAAAATTTTCCACATTAAGTTTTGTTTCTTGCTTTCCGCTTATCATTTTTATTTATGAAAAATTATAAAAAAAATAAGAGTTCGTTTTTTCTGCAGTTACTGCATATAAGTTATCTGCAGTAAGTCCAATACGACGTCGTTTTAGGGCGAAAATCATGATGTTTTTGTAATTTTAATTTATTTCAGAGTTATAATAGTCTTTATATTTATAATTTTTTAAGATTTCAAATAAAAATACAGGGTTCATTTTTTCTGCAGTAAATACAGATAAGTTATCTGCATTGAGCCCAAAACGATATCATTTTGGGTGCGAAAATCAAGGTATTTTTGTAATTTTAATTTATTTCAGGGTATAATAGTCTTTATAACTATAATTTTTTAATATTTCAACGTCACTTTGTGAGTAAATGCAGATAACTTATCTGCAGTAACTGCAGAAATATTTTTCTGAAAAATATATTATGTTGTATCTTTCTCTCACTTAAAATGAAACAACTTTATGTTCTTTAAAAGGACAAATATTTTTTTATTTTAAAAATGGAAAAAATATATGAACTATTTGATTATATTGTTATTATTATTTAAATTTTTTATAAGTTGGCACAAAGAATAAAAATCATATATAATTATAATTGAATGGTTGAATTAATAAAAATCATTTTATATATTATTTGGTGATATAAAAATATAAAATTTTGTACCAGGGCCAATTAATATCTCTCTCCATATCTATTTTTTTTTAAAGTGATTTCAGCCAAAGTAAACAATCCAACAAAGTCGTAATCTCTGGAATCAACTTCAATAATCAAGACTTGTTTTTTATTTTGAGATCGTTTTGCGACTAGTCCGATTTGGAGCGAGTTCCGGAATTAAGGTTTTAAACTCCCCCAAAAACTGTACTAGTAAGGATCGCACACATGCTCTACTCCCATCTGCTGGTACCAACTGGATACCATCATTTGATATAATTAAGATTTATTAATTACAAAAGTCTAATCGAGAAATTAATTCTGTAAAAATTCATAAAAAAGGAAGAAATATTAATTTGATAAGTAATAAAAGACGTATAATAATGTTACAATTTGGCCTTCGATGAGCGGCCGCTGTATCTAAAGAATGTGAAGATAGAAGAGAAGTGGGAAATTAAGAAACAGCTAGCTAAAGCCTTAAACTTAAAGGTCATTAAGAAGTGTAAGGAGGTAGACGAAGAGGTTGATAATATCACCATAGATGGAGATAGCAGCCCAGATGTAATCATCGTAGCTGTAATTTTTGATGAGGTTAGAAGTGTCATATACGATGAAACCACACATAATTAGTGCACCCAGGCCAGCATAAATCATTCGCCCCGTTGGTCCAAGAGGGAAAAATAACTGTTCAATGATAGATAAATTAAGAGTCACATTTAGATCCAAATGATCTTAATTATAAGACAAAATTAAATGAAAAGTACTGAGAGTTAATTAGTGAGATGAAATGCTTACTTGAATGAGTCCGAACATTAACATCACCATAAGGGAAGCAAAAAGGAACGGCCCTAGGAAACTGAAATCACTGCCTCTTTTAACAGCCCAAAATGTGTAGAGTGTCAGGCTAGCAACCACCACACCCGTCAGAAATGCAGCCTCTGCCACCACCATTGCTGTTGCAAAATTCACATAATTCAAATCTCTGCCATGCATGTCTAATAACATATTTATGAAAATTCTATTTACAGATTATTATCATTATTACACTTTTTTTTAAAAAATACCTCTAAACACACTAGCTTTTTCATTTTTCATTTTTCATAAACACGGTCATGTAAATTCTTATATTTAATTTTTTAGGTTTTTATTATGTATGTGTCTTCCTTTTTATGAAAAAAATGAAAGACGATTTATTGTATGAAGATTAAGATTAGAAAGGTGATCCATACCGTTGGCAAAAGCACAAGCGAATCCAACTGTAACAGACATGCCGAGAGTATAGAGGCCAAGAAGAAAGAGATTCACCGGGTGTTTATTGTAATATTTGCTCAACACAAACAAAACTGCATGTCCAAAACATGAAGCATGTGACAATATTAAGTTTCAACTCCAAGGATATGATTAAACTAAAACCTATAATATGAGTTTTAGTAAAAAAAAGAAGGAAAAAATGAAAAGCCTTGAATATTGAGAGGGTTTAACGTACGTATGAATGTTAAAATTACGGCTCCGAAGAAGACAAATAAGCGATAATCATTGTAGCGAGCGAAATCCTTTGCAGGTGGAAAGAAGATGAAGAAGGCGGCGAAACCAGCAGTGAAAAGCAGCTGAATAGAAACAATCACGTAAACCTTGCGGATGAATCCCCACCGTAACTCAGGTGACTCTATCATCGATGGATAGAGGCTGTTGCTATTGTTATTGTTACCCTGCACTTGGGATAACCCAGCCTCAATGTCACCCTTACCCATGGCGGTGATAAGAGAAACGCACACAACAAATTCAGAACACAAAGTTATATGTAATGGCTCTTCCAAGTTTGGTTTAGGTAAACTAACAAGAACAAGAAGAACAAGAAGATGGTGATAGGATGTTATTTTAATGGTTTTTTTTTTTTTTTTTTTTCGTTGCAACTCTGTTTTGGTTTAAACCGAAGCCCATATTGTAACGCATGCATATATAGAAATGTTTTGGTTTAATTTTGGCATTGGGCGTGAAGATGACACATGCAACTTGGTGTGTGGTTCTTTAGTGCATTTATAGGTTTTCCTTGCTGTCTTCAAACTATACATACTATTATTATGAGTATTGCTATTAAATGATTACCGATGGGCAATTTTGTAATTCTGAAAGTTTCGTATGACGGAAGCGCGATTTCATGCAAAAATTGATTCAGAAGTTTTGATTATGAGACTATTCAAAAACATTTAATCAATTAGGTAGTCATTGGAATACTATGTAAATCTTATTTTATTAATAATGTTGTTTGGGACAATTGGATATTGGTCGTAATTTCTTCAACTGATATAAGTATCATCAACTAGAAACATGAAAAAAAAAATTAATTTATTGTTTTTTAAATAAAAAATTACGAATTTATGACAGTTTTAAAAATAATTATACATTTATTATATAATATCACGTTCAATTTGGGCGACATCAATAATCACGCTTAAATTGGGCGTCACTCAAGAGGAAATCACGCCTAATTTAGGCGTCACTCATCAGGTGTTGACACGTGTCACATTTTTTATTTTTTTCAAAAAAAAAATTAACAATTTAATCGTAAAATTTCTGAAGGCCATAACTTTTGACTCAAGTATCCAAATCAGGTGATTCTTTTTTTGATTCCGCATAAATTTTCGAGATCTACGGAATGACTTCTCATTTGACATATTTTAATTCTCACAAACACAATTTAAATTTACAAGAATGGTATTATAAGAGCGGTTAAACCCAGAAGCCTCTGAGTTCTGAGTTTATGATTTAATATAAAAAAATAAATAAATATTTGATTTGTGATTTAAATTAAACATAAAAATATAAGTTATTATTAATAAGGAAACAAAATAAAGATTTGATTTGTGATTTAAACTCAAAAATCAATTTGAAAAATCTGTATTAATAAAAGAAATAATTAAATAAATATTCTAAATCTCAAAGGAAGAAGGATTTTATTTTTTTTAAACATTCATAAGCCATCATTAATTTCAGACCACGAATAATAACCCAGAAGCTTATAGCATTAATCATTAATTTCAAAAGTAATATCATTAATAATAATTTTTATTTTTAATTTTAATTTAAATCACAATCCAAATTTTTTTTTGTAATAAAAATAAAAAAATTTATTATTTTTTAATTTAAATCACAAATCAAATATTTATTTATTTTTTATATTAAATCACAAACCCATAACTTAGAGGCTTTTGGATTTAACCGCTCTTATAATACCATTTTTGCAAATTTAAATTATGTTTATGAGAAATAAAATATATCAAACGACATGTCATTGCGTAGATTTCGAAAAGTTATGTGGAATCAAAAAAAGAATTACCTGATTTGGATACCCGAGTCAAAAGTTATGGCCTTCAAAAGTTTTATGATGAAATTATTAATTTATTTTTTTGGAAAAAAATGTGACACGTGTCAACACCGGATGAGTGACGCCTGAATTAGGCGTGATTGCCTCTTAAGTGACGCCCAATTTAGGCGTGATTGGTGACGTCCAAATTAGACGTGATATTATACAATAAAAGTGTAATTATTTTTAAAACTGTCATAAATTCGTAATTTTTTATTTAAAAAACAATATATCCATTTTTTTGCCCTACAAACATATATATATATATATATATATATATAGTGTTGCTCAATAATGGAATATAACACAAATACCTATTGCATACGAGACATTAGACATCAATTTTAGTTTTCAAGTATACGGTGACCTAATTTAAGAGGAATGAAGTAATAGCACTGATAGTCAGAAAGACATCTACTTATTTAGCATAAGTTGGGAGAGGCTTCGGGCTTTAGAAGGAATAACAGTTTGGGTGAATGGGGCCTCTCTACTTGAAATTGAATTGTTCTAAACAATTTATATAAGTTCATATACCACACTGTGGATTGGTCGTTTTTATGGACCCACAAGTCCATTTAGGGATGCTGTTGAACATATGGTTGATGACCATCTTGAATGATCCAAAACATCTTTTGATGGAAATGGACAATCTTTCAGTTCCTCATTGTACTGTAAGACAGCTTCATTAAGCCAAAATTTCACTTCCTCTTTCTTTTCTTTCCTTTGTTGTTTCTTGACATAAATCAGGCTTCAATGTAACACTATTTACCATGGACAAATGTTGTAGGTCCTGTTTGTTCTTATAATGGACCGTAGTTTAGCTGTTTAGGACTAAATGCAAGCAAATATACACGCATAGACTCTTTTAATTGATTCTATTTAATTCTTTTGTTCTTAGCTTCTATCATATTTCTTGTTTAAAGGTTGTGAAGGTTTACGATTCTGTTTAAGGGGACCTCCAGGGGAGTTATGTCATGAACCCCATTCCCAGGCAAGGAAAAAGAAAACAAGTCATTAAAATAGTCTGATATTCCATAAAGTCATTCATTGACGAATTGTGTATTCAAAGAATGGGCCATGTTGAAAATAAAACAGAGAAAATAGTATAACCGTCTGTGAATTCATTAATTGGTTAAGACTATTTTCCAAGAATGGGCCATGTTAGGGTGGTTATGACTTGTGAACGATCGATCAGCTATATAAAAGAGATGCAAAAAATTAAAAAAGAACTATCAATGTAGATTGGCAAGCTAAAAGATAGAGGGGTATCTTAATTAATGATTTCTTTTTCTAACCTATTCTTTTTGACTGAACTGTTCTGTCCTGATAGCATAATAAAACCAAAAAAAACAAAATTAGGGGGGGCCCATTGGAAAGTTGATTTATAATATCTATAAGCCTACCAAAAGAAAGAAAAAAAATGGAGCCCTTAAAAAAGTCTTCAATCAGTGTTGAAATGAACAAAAGGCAGTCACATGTAATTATGAACAGAAAATTTCAAAAAGGATAGAAGGGGGAAACAGCATGGAAGAGACCATCAAAGAAGGATTCCTTGTTTATTTGTCTCCTTGGCCCTAAACATAGTGATATGCATGAATTATTTTTGTCCATTTCTATCCCCTCAACTGTAGTTTTCACTTTCCAAAATTACAATTGACACCCCTTATAATAATTTTATACAATGTAGTAAATAATCTTTTTGTTCCTTTTTTTTTCTCTCCTGAATTTACAGTTAGGCTCACATGATAGTACATGAATCAAAACCATATACAGGGTAGCAGAACCTATCTGCCATTAAGGAGAAATTAAAAAAAAAAAAAAAAATTTATTATGTCTTCTATTTCTTCTTTCTTTTAATCTTTCCATTACAGAATAGTGAACCAAATCCAAAGAATCTTGCAGTAGCTTTGGGAATATATGCATGTGGTAGATTTAAAACAGGACTAATTCTAACACCATTACCAGAAGATCCACAATTTTTCTTCATTGAAGGTTTTTGAGATGAACTAAAAAAATAAAATGTACTTGAACTTGAAGAGGATGATGATGATGACCTTCTACTTGAAGCAGAGGACTGTTTCTGAAACCTCTGCTTCTGGGTTTCTGTTTGCTTTGGATTTGGAACTGAACCAGTTGAGTTGCTTCGTGATAGGAACTGTAGCGATCGAATCAAGCTAATCCCACGAGTGGTATCAAAATTCAAACTGCTACTGCGTTTGAATTGCCAGAAGTACTTGGATGATGGCTTCTCATCTTCGTTATCTGCATCATCAGAGGCTGCAGAGAGGAACTCCTTGAGCCTCTTCTTTTCCGTACATCTTGTGCTCGAAGGTTGAGAGCGAGGACGTGCAGGCTTTGCAGGAAGATGGGGTTCATCTGTGGCATTGGAAACTCTCTTGATTTGCATTGGAACAATCTTGCCATTTGAGAAGAGTTCATCAGCTGAAGAGAGTTGTTGAGCTAACCCATTGGTGATACAGAAAACGAAGTCTGAGCTAGAATCCAAGAGGCACAAGTCTGATCGACGGTTATGATCTTCAATGGGGACTGAATCTTCTGTGTTCGTCAGATCATGTGAGAACGAGATGCGAGGGCTGATTCCTGTGATGGGTATCTCAGAGCACACTTCTATTGCCATGGCTTTTTCTGAACAGGGGAACTCTGTTTCTAGTTAACAGAGAGAGAGAGAGAGAGAGAGAGAGAGAGAGAGAGAGAGAGAGAGAGAATGTCTCAAAATGTTGGTTTTGATAGTTGGATTTGAGGGTAGCCGCGAAAAGTTTCAAAATTTACGAGGTGGGAGTGACGGTGTTGGTTGAAATGGTAATGGGTTTGGAGTCAAAGGAAGTGAAAGAGACACAGTATGTGTGTTTGTGTGTGTGTGTGTGTGTGTGGAATTATGGGGTTGAGAAGTCAGAAATTGCAGCTTTTGTTTTTGTTTGGGTGTTGTGTCTGAGTTCCAAAAGGGAAGGAACAATTATGCAGGATGAGGAAGATTAACATTAAAGCTGGATTGGACTAGATCCTTTTCTTTACAATCTGTTCATGAAAGGGTAAAAGGAAAAGCAGTTGAAACCAATCACCGAAAGGTTATAAAAGGATAACTCTTTTGGAGGGTTTCCAAAGAAGCTTTAGGAACAGAAGAGTGCCATGACAGAGAAAGAGAGGGAGAGAGAAGGGGGAATTGACATGCACCTCGAGATTTATTATAGGAGGGGAGAGGAGTTTAGCGAAAATATTACATACTATTATGCTCGATGGTAATGGTAGTATTAACTATTTAACAATAAGTTAGTCACAGTGAAGATTACTTATAAATTATTACATATAAAGTGGAATCTTTGCTAAGAAAGTAAAGAAGCAATCACTTACAAAGTTAAGAATAACAAAATGATACAATAAAGGGGTATAGCATGTATATACAACCGTACACGCTGTTCTTGATTTTTGATTTCTACCTTATCCTTCGAAAATTGCAGACTAAAACAGTTATTATGCTTTAAAATTATTATATTTATTTTGTCAAAAAGATCTAATAATATATATTTTTAAATAAAAAATAGTATCGTGAGACAATGATAATGAATAAGTGGAGGTAGAAGTTGTAAACAGTAGTAATAAAACTGATACTAACTGAGAGGTATTCTAGGTCAGCAAGAAAAAGTTTTTTGTTTTGTAAATTTTTCATACTTTTTTTTTAAAAGAAGTCACTAAATAACTTTAATTATAAAAAAATATATAATTGTATTTTCTAAATTATTCTATTAAAATACTTAAAAATTTATCATTGAACTAATATTTTCTCTAGTTTTCTAACTGCATTTTTCCAACATTAGAAAAACACAATTATTAATTGCTACTATAAGAATTCGGGGAATATATTTAGATAAGAATTCTGCATAACAGGAAAATTCTTGTGTCATCCTTGAAGAAGGAATTTTCTTCCTCCAAGAAAATCATAATATATCATTAAAACCATATTCGGACATGTATAAGAAGTGGGACTCCAAAATGGATGGTTTTGATTTTTAACGGAAGAATAAATTCATCCTTCAATAGGTGGAAATAATTTCTCCTGCGAAACAAACGTTACCGTCAACTTGCAATAGGAGGAAAATCTTTTGACTTTGCAAGTACGTATTAATGATTACACTAACGTTAGTTTAAACTCAATTATTTTAACTGTGCTTAAAACACAGAGTGCACGAGCTGGCTACGTTAATGGTCGATCTGATTAGTGATTACCATTAATCTCAATTTCGGATCTGGGCAGTCATCATCGTTAAGATACTTTTCTGCTGCAATTTTTGTTTTAATTTCCTAAAGTTTGTGAACAATTCCAACATTTTGATGTATAACTTAACTGAGGGCATTGATGTTGTCCTGAGTGGTGGAAACATTAGGTGCTTAGTTAGAATTATGTGGCACGCGATGTAGGGTCCATTTTAGGACAACAGACATAGGCAAAAATGATCTTCGTTCATAGGAAATTATTGTAGCATGACTAGGCACTATCACAGGAGTACTTGTACCACACCTTTAGTACTTGTTCAAGCAATGCTAACATCATGACCAAGATTATGCTGATAACAGAATGCTTCTTTTAAGACAAGAAAATGAACCTTTTCTCAAATTTGAAATATACAATATGGCACGGGATACAATTTGTTTTCCTTTGCCAGTATGAACAACCAGAGCATGAGAAAATGGACTAGAACAAAGGACAATTATAGTGTTGATATGAGGTAGTGTGAACGTTCCATAATGGTTCACAAGCACACAAACCCCGAAAGTTAGGAAACTTTTTCTTTTTCCCCCTTGGCCCCTTAAGAAGGTCAACTGAAATTTTGCAACATATGAATAGTTAAAGAGTGACAAGAATGGTGAAATTGGATAGCATATGTCGTAGGCTGCATTATTTACTTATTCTGTATATATATTAAATGGTCATTGATCTTGAGCGTCAATTACAAATGCTTTTGTTTGACTGGATGGAATCTTTCAGCTTGCAATTCTGCTGTTGATGACATATGCTGAGTAACATATTCTAATTTAGCAGCTACTTGGTTGGAAAAGTTTGTTTATTGTATAATGTTCTTGCGTTTCAATTTTTTTATGCAGTAGAAGAAAATTTTCTCATAGTGTACATACATCTTACGTAAAACCCACATCTATTAAAAATTAAAAATAAAAAAAATGCACAAAAATTAAAAAATCATTAATAAGAAAAAACAATTTTTCTAGAACTAGAAAATGTTTTCCCTTATAACTCATATGAGAAGAAGAAAACAGAAAAGGGAATCTGTATGGTGGTGGTCTGATTTGAAGGCATCCCCATATGTTTGTCAGAGTGTCAGAGTACTTTGCCAGCATTGGATCATTCTTCCTCTGTTGGCACGTGGGTAATGACCATCCCGATCAGATCATGGTTCATGGTGGCTATTGGATTAGATGCATTTGGCATCTCCATCATGTCCTATGAATTATTGTTGTTTAGATCAATGACACGTTAAAATTGATTAAGGGAGTTTCGCGGAAGATAATTTTTTTGTTGTTTATCCGATAATTACGATTTTTAGGAATATATAAAAAAATATGTTTTCTTAAAAATATTATCAAAAAGTTATTTGATAAGTTAAAATATTTTTGAAAATGTTGGGTTAATTTTTTTTTTCTTTTTTGAATTTCGGTCCACCACTGCCGCCCCTCAAGCCCACGCCCTTGGGAATCTTGAGAGGATGTAAATTACGGGATGTGCATGCAGGGCAGGAATCGAACCCGGGCACTTTGGTGCATTGCTGCCACGAAGACCTTAGGGCTTCGACCCAGGAATCGAACCCGCGATGTTAGGTTAATTTTTTTGATGCTATGTTTAGTTGTGTTAAAATTTTTCTTATCATAGGAATCTTAAAATATCACCACTTATTACCAAGTGGTGATATTTTTGGATTATATTTTTAAAAAAATTTACACACAAAATAAAATCTCAAAAAAATCAGATTCTCAGAAAAATTTTAAAAATCTCATATCAAATATAGGTAAATAAAATTAACATCTTCAATTTCTCAGAAATTCTTAAAAAAATCTTTTACCAAACACCCCGTAACAGTATTATACGTCCTTTTAGCGAGAAAAAAAAGGAACATTGACTGTACTGCCCCTTTTAATATAATATACTTGAATATCACGGAGTCAAAAAAAAATTCTAAACTGCCACGGCACCATAGTTACTGAGGTAGTCAGTTGCTATGGACATGACACGTGTCACTTCCCCAGCGACTGAAATACCAAAGTAGCTATCTTATATAGTGACTTTGGGTTGAATGAGTTGCGTGCCTAGTTGGTGGGGATATGACATGTTTCCAGTCCATAGTAGCTGACTATCTCAGCAACTATGACACATGGTAGTTTGAAAAAAAAATTGACTATGTAACATTGAGATATATTATATTTAAAAGGGAGTTATTAATCTCATGTTGCTTGAGATAGTTCTCTCATGTGTGTGAGATAAAAATGTGGGATCCACACTTTAAAACAAAAGGAAAAAGAAATAGAAAAAGTTGGCACAAAATTCAATGAATGTATAAAATGAGATAGTTATCTCTAACAAAATGAGAAAAATATTTCCCCATTTAAAAAGGGAGAGTACAGTAAATGTAAAAAAAGAAGAAGAGTAAACACCTTTTTTGGTCCCTGCCAATATCTACGAAATCTTTTTTAGCCCCTGACAATAAAAAATTACCAAATTAGTCCCTAACAGTATGAGAAAAGGGCTACGTTAGTGACGGAGGAGTTGACATAAGGACTAATGTGGCTCTTTTTTTATAATTTTAGGGACCAATTTGGTCCTTTTTTATTGTCAGGGACTAAAAAGAATTTCGTAGATATTGACAGGGACCAAAAATGGTGTTTACTCAAAAAAAAAAAAAAAAAAAAACCAAGTGATACAACATAGACTTGAACGTGTAGTTGACTGTTTGTAGCTTAGGTTTCCTTAGCCTTGGGTTGATCAATGAAAGTACAAGAACGGCAGCTTTCCTAAGGCAAATCCCACTCGATACCCAAGCATCAATTCAAAGTTACTTCAATTTTGGCGTTTTAACTCATTTAATGCGCAAAGAGAAATATTTTCGTTGGTTAATTGAAAAGACAAATATTAGGAGATTGTCGCTTTCAAATTGTGCATGGAGTGATATGTGATTAGTGCAAAAGTTTGTAAGGTGTGGTGTATTATTAAGTTGCATATCACTTCATGTGCGATCTGAACACACATATTTTACATTATCGTATTATCGTATTATTTTAATAAAATATTTAATTTTTTTTTTCTTAAAGCTGCAAATTTTGAGTTCAAATATTAAAATTCCTTGTAGACTATTTAAGTCTATTCAATACTAAGTTAACGAAGGAATTGTCACAGCAGAAGTAATAATTATTGTAGACATACCTTTTGGTCACAGATTGTCTAGTCGTGCTCGGAGAATTTGAATGTTCCACATATAATTTGACTCGGTTAACAAGAAAATAAGTTTTGTAACTTGGGAAATTACTAAAAAAAATTAATATCGGTTCGGAACTGAATAAACTTGTTACATAACGTAGTTATATAAGAAAAAACTTAAGACATTGAAATACAAAATT